TGTGTGTGTAGATGGTGTGTGTACCTGTGTGTGTGTACCTGTGTGTGTAGATGGTGTGTGTACCTGTGTGTGTGTACCTGTGTGTGTAGATGGTGTGTGCCTGTGTGTACCTGTGTGTGTGTACCTGTGTGTGTAGACGGTGTGTGTGCGGTTGAACATCTGGAAGGATCTGATGTCATCGGTTGGTGACATCTGGATGGTTTTCTGTAATGAAGAGAGAACAACAGATTCTGGTTCTGGTTCTGGTTCTGGTTCTGGGTTGCTGACCACCAGAACCGAGGCGAACAAAGCGGGTCATGTAATAACCGTCCTCACTTCATGACGGGGACTGAAGGTGATCTGGGTCGAGCCGCCGCCGAGGTCCAACATCCCAACGGTGGGCCGGTCCGGACCCTGCAGCCCGCCTGGAACCAGAACACATCTTTATCAGAACCGGTTTCAGAGCTCCAGATCAACCAGCCCAGTTCTTCAGAACCACCGGTCCTCCAGGCGTCGGATCGGATCAGAACTTCCTGTTTCTGCTCACCTGTCAGGAAATTGATGGTGATCCAGGCTGAGATCCCTGAGGAGAGAAGAAGAACCGGGTCAGGTTCTGAAATGTCACCAGAACCCATCCAGACTCCGCCTCTTGGTTCTGAAGGTTCTGACTGAAGCTGGAGGCAGAACCCGGTATTGGGTCGGCTCTGGAGTTCTCCAGGAGCATTTGCTCTCAGCTGGACCAGACCGAGCCAGACCGGACTGGACCAGAACCATTCCTCCAGGTTCGGGTGGTTCTGGTCGTTCTGACCTCCTGGTCCAGATCCCGACCCAGTGATCCCAGGTTCTGGAACCGGGCTGGTTCTCCAGAACCTAATCTTTTTAAAGTCGTTCATAAGCAGTCCATATGGGTCAGAACCGGGTTCAGAACTGGTGTCACCGTCCGTTAATCTGACGGATTATCTGCCGTCACATGGCTCCTCCAGCACCGGTACCACCGGTACCGGCCCGGGTCGCCAGGCCCATATGGCCCTCCTAATAAACGATGTCCAGTCCGGTCTACTAATGCTCTGGTTCTGACCCGATGGACCAGAACCCGTTTCCCATATGCTGAGCGGGTTCTGGAGAACCTCCACAGGTCCCAGAACCGGCTGATCCGCCCCGGTACCGACCCGGTTCTGGAGCAGACGTACCTTCGTCGGTTCCGTCCATGATGGACACGCCGTCCTCTGCGGACAGGAAGGGAGACTCCCGGAACAGCGCCCTCACCTGAACAACAAGAGAACCGGATCAGAACCAGAACCAGCAGAACGGGTCACAGCTGCTCCACTGGGACCAGAACCGCTGGGCAGATTTCGACCATCAGAACCAAACCGGACAGAACCTCCAGGGTTCTTCCAGAACCTTACAGCCAAAGCTCCCGGGTCAAATAGAACCAGACAGAACCAGAACCGGGTCAGAACCTCACCTGGTCCAGCAGCTGCTCGGCCTTGTCTCCAGGCAGCAGCCTCAGGCCGGCCGTGGCTTTCAGAACCACCGGGGTTCTGGTCCACTGGGACGGGGGGACGACGGACCGGGCCAGGTCCAACAGCGCCATGATGCCAGCGGAGCACTGCAGAGACGAGACGACACCGATCAGAACCATCACCGAACCGGGTTGACCCAGTTTCCCCTCTGACCTTCTGCGGGTCGTCGGCGTACGCGGACAGGCCCGGTTTTATGGCCCGGAACGTCTCCCGGTCCAGACTGGGAAACCCTGAGGAGAAGGACCAAACCCAGTTCAGCACGACCAGAACCAGAACCTCAGTCTGTCCCAGTTAACAGTGGTTAGATGCTTCAGAACCACCAGAACCCGGTACCTTGGTTCTCCATCCGGAACCGGAACACGTGGACTCTGGTCCCAGTGCTCCCAGCATCAAACATGACTCCATACTGGAGTCCGTCTCCTTCAGAGGAACCGGGCCGGGCCGGTCCGGTTCTGTGTGAGGCGGGTCGGTGCGGCGGCGGCCGGTAGGAGGAGGAGGAGAACCGCTGGAGGAAGAGGAGCAGAACCAGAACCAGAACCAGGAGGAGGAACAGGGCAGCCATCTTGGATCGCATTCTGGAACCACACAGAACCTTCAGCAAGAACAGAACCCGACCCGGTACCACAGACCTGTCATCAGCTCCTACCACATCTCTGGTTCTGGTTCTATTTGGACGGGAACCGGTCCCAGAACCCACCAGAACCTCTTAACCGGACTGGCCCAGTCTCCTGCTGGTTCTGGACGGTTCTGCTCAGGACCAGTTTAATCAGTCTGATGACCCGGTTCCAGTTCATCTCCACGTTTTGGGTCAGAACCACCAGTTCAGCCCGCAGCATGATGCTGCCATAACCGAAACCGAAATGATCCGGAATCAGAAAGGTTCTGCTTTGGTTTCATCAGACCGGGTCTGGATCCAGATGTCCTCCAGGAGGTTCTGGCTCAGTTTATCTGATCTGTTTGGTTCTGAACAGATCGGCCCAGAACCAGATGACAGACTTCTGAACAGAACCTTTATGGACCTGTAATCAGCTGGTTGTAAGCCCGGTTCCGCCGGTCCAGTTCACCTGGTGAGAACAGCCTAAAGCTTTATGATGGACCGAACCGGGTCTGGGAGCAGAACCAGAACCTCCTGACCATCTGAAAGACGGAAGCAGAACTCACCTGGTTCCGAAGGGAAACAGCTGGCTGAGTTCGAGCCCAGGTTCCGACTCGGTTCTGATAATGATGATAGCGTGCCGAACCGGGTCAGCTCAGACTGAAGCCGGTCGATCTTCAGGTTCCGTTCAAATAACCAAGCATGACCCGGAATAACTCTCCGAACCGGACAGTTCCTGAACCGAACCGAACCGAACCAGTCCGCTGCTCCAGGTCAGCTGGACTCCAGCAGGACCTACCGGTACCGACCCGGTCAAGTTCCGGATAAACTACATTCCTCTGTTTACAACCGGCGCGCAATAATGACGTCAGGCCACGCACGGTGACGTGGATGGTAATACGTCATA